CCCCCCCATCCCCTAAAAGAAATACGACTTCAGTAAGAGAGTCACATTTATCAGAAGTTACAGGTAACATTAGCACTCATTGTACTTACAGAATACATAACTGGCCTTGCCATTGAATCTGCCTTGTGGACAATAATTGAGAATACGACCATCACAAGAGCCACCATCATCGACAGGACTGAAACAGCAACAAACAACTGTGCACAAATATTTATAGCACCATCAAAACTGAACTTTAAAGGAGTCTCTTCCTCCGTGTAGATAGCTGTAATGTTCTCATAGTACTTAAATGGGTATTTAACAGTGATGTTGAACCAGTATATTTTGTCTTTAGTATGTAGACTACCTTGGTCTTCATAAACCACACAGAAAGGAAACATCAACAGGGGAAGAACCTGACATAAATAGAGGAAAAGGATGCTGAATTTTTTTTAAGCATTAGAAATATGAATAATAATTATTATTATATAGCTTCTCATTAATCTCATATAGGTAACTGTCCAAATATTTTCTTAATCACATCCTTTTTGTAATCACTACCAAATCCTGCAATTGGTTGAAAGGAGTGCGATTAATTCCCAAATCGCATCCTTACGAGCTCTTAATCGCATCCTAAAAAATTTTTTTTAAAACAATAAAATAAAGCAAAATAAAACAAAAAAATCAACAACAAAAAAATTTTTTTAGATGTTTTTTTTTTGTTTGCATTTAGTTCTTCTACTACATTAAATTGATTATTCTGCACTCTTTATTATGTCTTTTTCTTGTGTATGATGACAAGAAAGATATGATTAAGTGGTAATTGAACTTCGTGTCGTGCAATTTTGGTCTGAAATCAAACTTGCAATTACAAATCGCACTCCCGCTACGCGGTTGTGCGATTTTGTAATTGCGCGTTTGATTTCAGACCTTATAGTACACTCAACAAAATTACTCAACTCTGATTGGTCGAGAGGAGTACAATTATAGCGTTAATTGTACTCCGTAGGAGTACCGAATTAAGTCGCTATGGCAACACGGCCAAAACAATTATTTTCTATCATTTTATACTTAAAAAAACATAAATAAAATTATAAAGCCATAAGAACTAATCTTTTTTATGCATTTCAGTTGCGCGATGGACTGAAAATTGGCCGCCAAATAGACAAAGATGAACAGCGTCGCTTCGCATTTTTTACTGAAATTTTGTTGAGTGAACTATATAAACAAAAAATCGCACGACCTTCTCGTACGATTTGGAATTAATAGACACTCATAATGTTTTGAAAGTTCTTTAATTGCACTCGCCTAAAGGCTCGTGCAATTACAAGAACTTACAAAACATTACTCGTGTCTATTAATTTCCAAATTGTATGAGAAGATCGTGCGATTTCCTATACAAATTGCACTCCACTCAGTTCAATTACCATCATATTAATTGGACATGTCTTGTTGGTATGGGATTATTTAGGCAGCTATATAATTAATAGGTAATGGGATTTCATGCTTCCCAATCAAGAAATAATTAGACTTGAAAAATTCCTCTGACTGCCAAATTGGACTGACAGCCTACAGCCTCATCCAATTTTGTAAGTCCTCAGAATTTTTCTCGTCCAATTATTTCTTAATTGGACAGCATGGAGTCCTATTACATATACTAATGAATGGGGTAATAATAAAGATAGGGACTTTCAATTAGCAGTATACTGCCTGCCTCAGTGGAGGTAAGATATACCAAGGAGTTTATTTTAAAAATCACGAGCTGTTAAAACAGATCACTAATAATACAACAAGACTTAGTGTTGCCTTACAAATATAAATTAGGACATTGGAGTTCAAAAACAAACATGCTAGGACCCATCAATGAATTGCCGTCATGCACCATTATATAAAAGTAACTCTTCCACAATCTCTTCTAGAATATGTCACTTCCTCGATTTTGGGCCATTATTAGGAACATTTATTTAATAATATGCCCTTATTAAAAAGCATGAATAAAGTTATATATTATCTATTATGGTTATCATGATTTGAATCAAAGGAAACTAGTGTTATTGTGATAACTGATCGAGGTGGTCTATTGAAATCAAGAAAGCACATGCTGTTATCCAATTACTCGAACAACGGTCCTCTACACTTTGAAAAACTTTACAATATTGCTGGCTACAGAAGATGAAAAGCAAAATATTATAAAACAACAATACACCGTTTAAGTAAATCATTATTAAACCGCATTTAAGCCAGGAATTGTTTTATTTATGAGACAATTGTTTTGGGCTGAGTTCGCATCGTTGGTCGGCCAAGCGCGGTATTGAATAATTCTAAGGTTTTTGAAAAGGGAATTACTTACGATTTCAGCTATCTTGATCCAAAACAGGTGATGTCTAAAGATCTTCCGTCTTGATTCACCCCGAAAAAGCAAAGCCATGGTCTTTTCGAAGAAAATCAAGCAGCTTTGGACAGAGTTTATACCTGAGATTGTTTATTCGACTGCGGGACAGGCCAGCACTGGAACTAAACGCTATACTTACTCATAAGGGGGGAGGGGCTGGGGGAAATCGCTCATGTGGCTCCCAGCCCTTATCCACACAGTCCAGAACTGGACCCACTTTTCTCACTAACTGTTTTTAATAATCTTCTAACAATATTTTTGATATATAAATTTGAATTTATATATCAAAAACAAAAGGAAATATCAGTCTATTTCCGCTACTCGTCTCGTCCCCGCACAGGTAGCCCAAGCTTGGTTTCTGTGGTGTCCTGYTATTAGGAAATGTATGGAGATTCATCAAAAATTTCAATAAAATGCCATATTCACTGGTTTTTTCTGGCCCCGATATTTCACTAGACATTTTGTTTTAGTTTTCTATACATTTTTATTTACCTTTTATTAAGTAGTACATATTTCCAATCGTGTCTAAAATTCATAGCACGTGTCAGAAATCCTAACTTTTTTATTCCAATAGACAATAAAGGTCCGTAAAAGTCATGGTAAACCTCTCATCCTATAATTGTTTCATCGGACGACTAGCTAGACACTAATATTATTTTCTTTTGCTTTATGACTTTGAAAAAATTCTTTCACCATTCTTTCACTGTGCATGTTTTTGTCATAAAGCTGTTTTCATAAGAATTGCTCTTGGCTAACTACGTTAATACTACTTAGGATAGTATTRTCTAGTTTCCCTTTGCAGGGGCGGCGGAAGCGGGGGAGCCGGGGGGGCACTGGCCCCCCCACTAGATTTTGGGGGGGGCCTGGCCCCCCCAGAATATAATGCCTCACACACACACAAAAAAAAAAAAAACGCATGAGATTTGGTTATGATTACCATTATTTATTATTTTGATATTACATAATTTTTTGTATCTAAAAAAGATACGATATATCTAGCGACGACTTGCATCATTTTTGTGTCTCTCAGCACAATTGCAAGTGGTTTAATGCGCGCAAAATGTTACTGATTGAAATATCACACATACACGTTTGTAATCAAGCTAAACAGGGGGGGGGTCATTTCAAGGTACCGTGAAATATTGGAGTGCCCCCCCAACATTTTTCAGCTTCCGCCGCCCCTGCTTTGCCGGTTTCAACGAAGGTAGTTCAGGTTCTATGAGCTGAGGTGTTTGACAATCTTAGTAATCACATCATATTTAACTAAAAGTCTTGCTACTTTTTACCCTGCTAGCAGAGGTCTTTTTGTGAATTGAATGGATAGAACTGTTTTGTGGTGTAATAATGTTAGAGTATTGATCATCACAGTGAATAATCGATCTAAGCGAACGCTGTAAAGAAAAACCTGAAAAAGCTTCAACTTTGAGAAAAATTCTGATGAGGGTCCCATGTGCTGATGGTGTACTCTAGTCGGTTTTGGTCTGACCAGAGCAAGATAGGCATGTTCTGTTATGATCAGTTATCACTTGAGATTCCGTTAAGGCAGAAACCTAAGGAAGAGTTTGCTTTTCATATTATTTCTGCAGTGATGTTATTGTCAGTACTATCGAACTAAGTACCTAGATGGTACGTCTGTAGCTATTGGCTTTCCTTCAGTCTCCTTTCACTTTGAATATTGGCATCAAACTGGTATGACATATAGTGTAAATTTCTATTCCAGTCCTTGGGGACTTGTCCATGCTTGAGAGAAGGATGAAAGAAAGATATAGTTCTATCTATTTTTCTAATTTTTGAACGTACTAAATTTACAGCTCTTCAGTAATATATTCTTGAATGTCATAGTCAGGAGGTGCATTCATTTCTTCTTGTTGATCCTGTCAAATCAACAAACCAGGATATAAGATGAGTAGTGAAGTCGTGAATCAACAACCCACATTCTATTTGATGCCAACAATGACTAAAAAGTCAATACAAAGCTGAAGATATTATTTTTCATTTAAAATCTACAAAACAATCCATTGTTCTGCTGATTGCTTAACGTTGAACAAGCACACATGCATTTGTGGCCAGAATATCCTAAACGTAATCTTTTAGTTTCAATATGAGGTTCTGCAAACATTTCTGGGCGGATCAAAGTCAGGACAAGGGTAACTCACAGATCATATTCAAATTCATTTTGTTAATATAGAGGCGAGAGGAAAGCTAGAGCAGCAATCCCAAAGAAAAGACTGACTTACATGAAATACATAAGAACTTACTTCTGCAGGCTGCATGACTCTCTGCCCTCGAGATGTATAACCAGGTAAAATTTCCCCATGATCCTGTATAATTGAATGAAAAAAAAAGTCATTTTTCTTGGCTTATTACTTCGAAGGAATGAGTTAAATGAGAACTTACTTCTGGCTGCATGACTCTCTGCCCTCGAGATGTATAACCAGGTAAAATTTCCCCATGACCCTGTATAATTGAATGAAAAAAGTCATTTTTCTTGGCTTACTTCTTGCGAAGAAATATGAATAAAATGAGTAGCTTACTTCTGGGTGCATCACTCTGTGCCCCCTTGATGTAAAGCCGAGGGGTGGAAGATCGGCTAAAGATGCCATGATATGGACTCTAAATGGAAAAGAGAAAAAAGATGGTGACCAAATTCAAACTGATTTATCATTGCCAACAATGGATAGAGGAGATAGATGGCCTTCATCGTTATTTTAGAGTTGTTCTATAGAGTTCTGCTATGCTTCTTTTCATTATATATTGCATAAACGTCTACAGCAGGATGCGATGCATGTAGCAATTGCTTTCAATACGTTTGCAGTTACATACCTATAGCTATACACTTTCACTGACGAGATAAAATACTCGACCTCATAGTTTAGAATTGTCTTAATTTGAAATTCTTAAAAGTATTCTAAATTATGAAATAATAATAATGCAATAATAATGATAATAATCGATATATATAGCGACTATCCAAGTGAAAATCAAATACAATAACGAGGTGAAAAATGATACATTAAAAACTAAGCTGATGTAGATTGATGTAAAGAATATTTGCAGAAAGCCGGCAAATTTAAATAAATGTGTTTTAAGATTTGATCCAGTTGTGTTTGTCAAGTAGAACATTGAAGGCCTCACCCTTTAGGGCTCCTTTTAATTGATAACGCTAAATTATTATATATTTCCTGAAAGGATTAACCAAGTTAACCCTGTCATTAAATAAAAGCATCTATAAACAAACTATCTATCTAAGGAAATGCGTTCCAAAGTTCAGGTGCTGAGCAACAACAAAAAATCTATGGCCGAAGATTTCTTGAAGGATTGTAAGCTAGAGGCAAATCAAATCGGCGATAGAAGACTATAAAGTTTATAAGTTAGGAGTGGAAAAATCTTGAATTGGATGTGTTCAGCCACGGGTAGTAAACTAATAGTGGGGGGGGGGGGGGGGGNGGGGGGGGGGGGGGGGGGGGAGCGTCTAAGGTAAACGCCTTTTAGGGTTCCCTTGTAGTTTTCAAGTATAAGAAAAGCATAAATTGATACTATATACTTAGCTATGCTGTACTTTAACCTTTCTACAGTGGCATAACAATATATGAACGTATGTACGTACTACAGAAGAAGCTTTTACTGATTTGCTTTTGCTGAAAGCCGGATTCTGTCGAGAGAGATGTTGGCGATTATCTTTCGGCCCTAGAACAGAGAGCCCGCGCGGCTATACACGAACGAGTAAATCAATATAAGGGAATCTGGGACCGACACTAAGATTAATGATGGCTCCCGCGAAAGAGTTCTCACTAAAACCACAAACTCTAACAGAACTACAACTACTGTAATTGCAAAAAACCCAATTACAAAAGCAAAAATATATCGTTAACTATAACTTTCTATAACATTTTATTTTGAAAAAAAAAAAACTGAATTGGTCAACCTACCATTTTTGCTGCATCAAAAAGTCTTTTAACGTCGTTATTTTCTGTTGAATTATCACGATCTTCTTTTCCGCCTCCACGCACACAGCGCGCTTTCATCATTTCACTCTCTCGAGTGCGGATGAAATCTTGACCACACGGTCTGTGTACCATTCGGGTATTATTCTTCTTATACTTTTATGTTTCTGAACTTCAAAATGTAATCTGCAGAGAGCCATTCTCCATTTTGCTATGACCGAAGGATTTTTATGCTTGTAGGAGTCACCTCTGGCTTCACTAATTAAGTCTCTTCATTGCAGAATGCAGTCCAACTCGATACCAAATTGTACAAGATTTAATCTGAACACGAATCTGAAAAAAGATATATACGTAAGTGTGAAATAAACAATTACATCAAAATAAATAATACTATTATTGACCAAAGGAAAAATACTTATTGCTTGCCCTAAACTATATCTTTCTTTTCTTTCTTCCCTTTTTTTCTTCATCTTAATTGCAATTATATTATATTCCTTCTTCGTGTTGTTGTTCTTGTTCTCGTTCTTGTTCTCGTTCTTGTTCTTGTTCTTGTTCTTGTTCTTGTTCTTCTTCTGCTCTCATTCTTGTTTTCGTTCTTGTTTTTGTCTTCTTCGTTTTCTTCTTCTTATTATTCTTCGTGTTCTTCTTCTTCTTCTTCAGTTTTCTTCTTCTTCTAACTTCTTCTAAGTCCTTCTAAGCAATATTCTCTTTCTTCTTTTTCCTGTTCTTCTTGTTCAATTCTTCAGTCATTAAAATGTTTCATAAATTTCCTGTAAAATTCACGGAAATTTTATCGCAAGGCTCTTCATTAGTCTGCTTTCTTCCAGCTGTCTATTCATTTTACTAAGAGACTTTTTCTTCTGTAAAATCCCTGGAGACGCTTGGGTTGCTTTCAAAACACAAAGAAAAGAAAATGGAAATTAAAACATTAAAACTTACTAAAGTTTGCCATAGTAGAGTATTTCCTGGTGAAAGTCGATCGTAAACTGACTGTGACATTTCTTCGTCTGATTGATGATATTAAACACCTATGTGAAATGAAATGGAACTCAGTTCAGATCGTTCTCCGTTCCCCTTTGAGACTGGAAAACGTTGTGCTTCTAACTATGTTTAGTTTGATATCGCTATTGCTTTACTTTTCTATGAGAACCGCTCCGCACAGCTGCTTGCATCCCCTAGCATGCCAACGCATATATTAACTTGTCATGCTAGCAAACTATTATTATTTTATATTACTATATATTCTCTTTTGAATGTTTTTGAGCTATCCGCACTGCTGCTTGCATCCAAGCATGCCAACGCATATATTAACTTGTCAAGCTAGCAAACTATTATTATTTTATATTACTATATATTCTCTCTTGAATGTTTTTGAGCTATCCGCACCGCTGCTTGCATCTAAGCATGCCAACGCATATATTAACTTGTCAAGCTAGCAAACTATTATTATTTTATATTACTATATATTCTCTTTTGAATGTTTTTGAGCTATCCG